ATTAGGTATTAATAATATTCAAATACCATCATAATGCTCAGTACTTAATCGGTGTTATCATAATCATATCAAATCATCATTAGAATCATCCCGTTGAGCTGTATAGAATATGAACCCATTTTCCCTCGAAACAAGAGGTTCGAATCCGACAACAAATCCCACAAGAAATGCTAAAAACAGCCTCGGATTCCCACCCAAACAGTTTCCAGTCGTACAAATCGCGGGAGACAAAGGGGTTGGCGTATTTGTTCAGTGTCAAGTTGATGGCATTCAGCTGTTCAGGGGGCGAGGGTTGGAATAGATATGACGGAATTGAGGCCGAAGATTGATTGATATTGGCTTCGTGTGGTTCGGGAGGAGTGTTGAGCTTGGGGGAATGTGTTTATTTATTTATCATTTAACTAGTTATCTTACTACTTTGTATATATACTTTATATTTCATTCATTTATATATTTGTTTTATTTATGTGGTATTAGTTTTATTCAATTATTTGTTAATATGTTATTTAATTCCCCTCAATTCCGTAGTTGCCGTGGGGGGGGGGGGGGCTACGGAGACGGTAATTGGGACTCAATCACTCCTATCTTGGACCTCAGGCCTCTCCTTGACATTCCTTACTATTGTCCACTTATCCTAATCGTTAACTCTTTTTTTTACCTTTTTAGGCCACGTTTTACCATAATGCTTTATAACCCTTGGTGTCTGGTATCTTTATTTGTTATGATCATTGAACATTTTTTAAATTCACAAACATCGCCTTGTGAACCAAAACACTTCCTTACCTCCGAGCTTCGTCCCAAAACCCCACCCGATCTATATTTTGAATGCGCCGCTAATGATCTTAAATGTTGGCGCGGCAGAAAATGTTCATTGAATAAATAATTCTTTATTTTTTTCTATTTTGAGAGGCGGGAGATATTTTGATCCTTGCGAATATTTGATTTGGTTGACGATGATGTATCATCATGTACTGGCGTATTTTTGTCGTGTTTTCTTTTTGTTAATTTTCCTGGGGTGTTTGGATTTATTTTGGAGGAAGGGAATATGACAAGTGTGATTGTTTACATACATTATTTGGCACACATGTCTCTCTCCCTTCTTTCATTTATTTTTCTTTCTTTTTTCCTTCCCTTGTTCTACCTCCCTTCCCCGAGTACATCCCATATATATGCCATCCTTTCTAATTCCATTTGTGAAAAGAAAAAATGTCCATATTAATGGGTTTGCCCAACGTAATCCGTCACTGAATGGCATTAAAACAAATCAATGCACTAGACATCATAGAGCATTATGGTAAAGTATGATGGTGGAAGGGGTTTAAAGGAGTTCTATGTTAGAATAATCCGTCACTGATGAATACGTTTGCCTTGTTGAGATGAAAAAAAAAATCTTATTTAGGGTTATCTAAGGCGGGTCAGTCAGAGACGGAATCGTAGATTTTAAGAAACACTGGTGATTGACTCTCCACACTCCGAAAGCGTCCTTCTAGCTAGATCTTTTTCTCTAAATCCTGCTCCTCGTTGTAGGATATAAGGGATAAAATACTTGATTCGCTTTCCTGCGTGTTATTAGGTCTCGGTGACGTCTCGTTTTTCCGATATTCATTTTTCTTTTCATTTTCTTTTATCCTTTTCCTTCTATCCCATCTTCTCTACAAACTTTTAGAACTTTTTCCCGCGTTTTCGAAGATGGTTTCATTTCCTCAACTGATTGTTTTTATGGTGCATGTATAACAAGGGTTTCTAGTGGAGTTTTTTTTTTATTTTATTTTCTAAAAGAATCATCGGTATATCAGAGACTCTTACCCTCGGGTGTATGAATTTTTTTTCGGGGGAGGGGTGGGTTGCTAATCCGAAGGAAAAAGATGTAGGAATATCAGGAAACACTGGAATTCTCTTAACTGGTTTTACATCTGCAGTCATTAATGTTGTTTGGTCTTCTTTCAATATTCAAATGTTATCAAGGATTGTTACTGCATATAATACTGCTCCGTACACAAAAATCCTAGGTTAGAAGTGTGCGGGTGGGGGCAGTGGAGGCAACGCGGCATACTGTTTCAAGATCTATGTAAATATTTACTTTCACTGTGTGAGGGAGAGGCGATAACAATTTTATGATGCCCAGGATTGTATTAAGGAATCAACACCTGTCTGTTTGTTTTCGCAAATGTTAAATCCTTCCCAGTCGCAATCGCCGTTTTCTTCGTTCATTATAAATATACCATTTACTACCCGCGATCATTGTCTGCTCCACCCGAGAGACTTTACTGAATATTCAAGAACTAAAAAAAATGGCCTACTACTGCAGTCCAGTTTTACAAAAGATTCAAACAATTAATCATAAAACTATATCGACCTCGCTGTTCACAAAAGACTAGAACTATAAAATCTTACTTATTTTTTCTTGTAGGATCTAGTACAGTTCATTATCAAAATCTTCGCTATTCAAATCCATCATGTAAAACAAAATATAATTATTCATAAATACCATCTTGAACAATTTTTTAAAAAACCAGCGGTCCACAGCAAGCGTCACCCTACACTTGACCTGTGGCGCTAGAGATGACATATTACAGCTAAAAACAATTATGACCGCCTTAGTCTGGGATTTGCGAAGCCTTACGTATGGAAAGGGTCTTTAGAAGGGCTTCCATATTTTTCAAAGACCTTTTGGTGTCTCGTTTCCTGACATTTCCGCACTGAATGACCGCAACGGATATGGTGAAATGGAAAGAAAACGGTACTTCCTTGAATAAATATTCGAATCGTATCATGTTATATTTTATGTCTGTTTTAACACATTAGACAGATATAACGTGTCTTTATGAACTTCCCGCAAGTTTAAAGACAGTGCTATATTATGAAGTTAATATTGCGCATAAGGTTAAAGGGGATACTAAAACAAAACAGATGCTGAATATTTGTATTTGGAAGCTTGAGAACATGTCATTTTTTTCATTTTTGTTTACTGACTGACACCCTAAGCGCAGCACTTCATGAGCATTGGTGCCTGGCCAGAGTACCTAATAACTGACAGTATTCATAAAGAACTGAATATCCAGACATGTTTGTGACTTGCTCTTTTTTCCCTTTAGTAGCTAAAGGACAAAAAAAAAAAAAAAAAAAAATGGTCAGTACAATTTGAGAACATCCACAAAACTAGGGGGTATGATGACATTTACTAAAAAATTACATAAACAACCTCACTAGGAAAGTATAATGGATGTAGTGTGTTCTACCTAAACATATTCCAATTCTATATGAACTCGGCCAGTTTGCGGTAGCCTCTGTGTGCTTGGCTTTGTTTGTACATGTGATTCATATAAAATTGAATATTATATATATATATATATTTATATATTTATATATATATGACACCTACAAAAAATGTGCTAAGTGGGACACAAAATTGTGACTTGTATAACAGATTTCAAGAACATTTTTTGTTTTACCATAGAAACTTTTACTTCAAGAACTGAAGTACAAAGCATGAAGAAAACTCAGGAAAGGGAATCATGTATAAAGCTCGTTAGGCTTCTTAACATGTAATTAACATCCTTTTAAAATCAATGAAACAAGAACTACAATAGTTAACATGATCTCATATCAAACAAACATAAATATCTAAGAGTAAATTCCCTACATGTACTACTGAATAATGGCAGTATACAACTCAGTCTTTATACACAGTCGGTCTCGGTTGACGTGTTAGTCAGCCTATGTACATGAGGTTTCCGACAAGTTTTTCTGTACATGACTTTCATCAGAGGTCTGGGGTGGTCGGCGAATAAAAACACCGGACTGGTGACTAGGGGGGGCCTTAGTAAAAAGGTCAGACCTGTGTCAGGGAATTTGGCAGCTGCGGTATATACACAATTCATTCTTTCTTCCCTTCTTGGTGACACAATTGTTATTTTTTTGAGCCTGACGAAGCACGCACTCACAAAAAAGACATTCTTCACAATTTTTCGGCATCTTTTTTTTCACGCGCATTTGGAGAAATTTGCCACAGGTAGGATATCTTCACACTTTATAGCATTGGGCACACCACAAACTACAGTGTCTGTGCTTGTTTCAACACTTTCAACCTTTGCTTCAGCATGATAATCTGGAAGTATAATAACTACCCTGTTTATAATTACTTTCCTTTTAGTTAAAACTTTAGTTTTCCAAAGATTTATTAATAAAACATAATGGTGTAACCAATATGCTAAAAAGCAATAAAGATTCGAAGATTAGTTATAAATGATAAGGAAAAAAATTATACACGGGTACAATAATGATAACCACTTCTTATCACAGATAAATAACAGGTACAACAACATATTGGCTACACCTCACATTTATTAAAAAGAAAAAAAAAAAAAAACATTCTTAAACAATTTTTAAAACTGTCTTTACAAAATAAGTCAAATAAGGAAGAGAACTAAGTTTAGTATTCCATTTAATTCTTAGAAAGAGACACAGTGTACCCCCAAAAAAGAATATAAACTATCCCTTGGGTGTCCAAGTATTCCTTAACATGAAAAGCTATTTCAAAATGGTACCAAATGCTTCCTACTCACGAATTTGGTAAGGAAAGAATGAAATTCTAAGCTTCCTTGCTGAAATAATACAACGAACAATCTGTTAAAAACAATATATCCCTTTCAATGAAAAAACATACAAGTACTTTCTTCAGCAATGGTACTGTTGATGGTGTTGTTGAAACTTGATATACACCTTATTTTTTTATATGGTTAATCTGATATACAGAAAAAAACACTAATCAAGGAAAGACTTGATCATCAATTCTCTAAAAGTTAAAATGCTGGCAGAAGAATTTAAGACTTACAAGCCAATGTCTACAACCAACAGTACAATTTTGTGTGCATATACAAAGACATTTAAGATACAAGAAGGAAAAAGAACCATAGGTTCTATATATATAGCTTGTGCTTTATTTGATGGCAGCAACGTCCATCAAAAGTTTACCTGACACACTACTGTTGCAGTTTATGTTCATCCTGTCACTGGTAAAAGTGGCCACAATCTTTCAATTTATCCATTCATCTTGAAATCTCGCTAGTTTTGGGGAGGAGTAAATGTAAGGAAAACCTCTGATTACTTGGGGAAAGATTCTTAATGGGGGGGGAAGGGGGGAGAGGAATTGTACATCATCTGAGCTGTACAATCGTTCAATAGCACATGATTTTAAACATTAAACTCTTGACTCTCAGTTCCCTGAGGAAGCAGATCCAGCAGAACTTTGCCTTTAGGATGCACAAACAGTCATGCCTTCAGGATACACATTTTCTTCACTGGTTTATTACAGGTGTCGGTATCCCATGTGGCAGTTACTAATGGTTTAGATGGTGACCATGATTGAGTGAGAGGGTGAAGTTTTTATTATTATTATTATTATTATTATTATTTTTTAATGGCTATGGGATACATCATCAGGGACAATAACGTAACAGGTTCTATCAATAGTTCTGGCATAGCGTCCATAACAAACCAAAGAACGGTGCTCGATAGACTGCAAGAGTGTCTTTAAGAGGGCGGGTTGAACTCTGTCGTGCCGGTCAAGGCAGAGAGGGTGTCATAGAACGCAGTGATGAAGCCCAAGATCAAGATGCACAACGGCACCATGGATAGCGCCACAGCCTGTGGAAATGCACCATTTGGTTCTCATTAGTTATCAAAATAAATGTATATTCTCTACAATACAATATTGTCACAGCTGGAAACAGGTCTCTAAATAAAGTGAAATCTTTCCAATCATAAAATACATAAATATACACATACACACATTGGTTTTTATCATTACTGAGAATTATGTCCACTTAATGAACTGGTTTACCTGAAATCAAACACCTTAATTTTGTAAATCATGTAATCATTACATAAGAAAGCTCTTTGGTTAATTTTGGTTGCAGCAATTATTGCAGTCTTGGAAAACTCAAATTTTAAAAGGAAACCTAAATAGCCGCCAGTGATTAATGCCACCATCAGTGGATCAAAATCATCCCAATTCTTTACTATAAAATTTTAGGATAAATCAAATTGGGATATCCAACACACTAAATACTTAATTTCAATTCCCTATGATCCAGATCACTTGACTATCACGTCAAGAAAAAACTTGGCTAAGAGATGTCACAGAAAAAATGGGCTGAGGACCAGGCTGATGGGAAAAAGCCATCGTGAGAATTTCGGCTGAAGTCCGAGTGCACAAAGCTCTTGGAGGGTGATTAGACTCTGCGGGAAGGGGCTCTTGCATTATTTCAATTGATAAACGAGTGGGGGAATGTACCATCCATGAGCCATGACTGGGAGAGCGCCGGCTCCATGGAGGATCCTATTCCTGTCCCCATGACCTACAGCGCAAGTTGTATTGCAGAAAATTGAATAATATGAAACAAATTAAAAAAAGGACATAAATAACCAAATGTTACTTATCATTATTATTACACTGAATTATGAACTAAAGAGATGATATGGAGTCTGTGCACAGAAAAACCATCTATTACCATCTGGATACAGAATATCAAATGACAAATAGAGACATTGGATAGTGACAAAAAAAAAAAAAATTTCCATCTTCCATCAGTGGGAATAAATATAAGGTTATTCCTTAGCCACTGAAAATAACCAAGCATACTGAGTGCAGATCAACAATAACTTCATGTTAACAGCTAATTTTTATTAGCAGGAAAATAATTAAGCAATTGTTGTCAAATAATTTGTTTGTTTGTTTTTCTCTCAAAGATTTATCAATGTAAATAGAGTAACTATGTTGTTAACTATCTGCTTTATAAAAGGTTCACTTCAAAATGATAAGTTATATTACGCATACATATTATCATGTTAATAATTAATAATTAATGCATATTAAAATCTTAAATTTACGTGATAGCAGTCAAACATAGGCTTCATTAAAATCAAATCTACTATGACAATGCTAGCTTCCAAAAATGCTAAAACTAAGTTGAATTTGGAACTGAAGCCTGCATAGCAATCACTAACAAACCTATACAATGAAAAATCTATACATTTTTTATGAATAGGAAACAAGAAAGAAGAATTTTTCAGATCTTGGAATTTCCTTTACATTACTGTATATCAGACTTGTAATTTTAAGGTCCAGGAGTCTCAACTATAGAGACTTATAACAAATCTGTACAAAATGAGGCAAAAAAAAAAAAAATTTCCATCTTCCATCAGTGGGAATAAATATAAGGTTATTCCTTAGCCACTGAAAATAACCAAGCATACTGAGTGCAGATCAACAATAACTTCATGTTAACAGCTAATTTTTATTAGCAGGAAAATAATTAAGCAATTGTTGTCAAATAATTTGTTTGTTTGTTTTTCTCTCAAAGATTTATCAATGTAAATAGAGTAACTATGTTGTTAACTATCTGCTTTATAAAAGGTTCACTTCAAAATGATAAGTTATATTACACATACATATTATCATGTTAATAATTAATAAATAATGCATATCAAAATGTTAAATTTACGTGATAGCAGTCAAACATAGGCTTCATTAAAATCAAATCTACTATGACAATGCTAGCTTCCAAAAATGCTAAAACTAAGTTGAATTTGGAACTGAAGCCTGCATAGCAATCACTAACAAACCTATACAATGAAAAATCTATATATTTTTTATGAATAGGAAACAAGAAAGAGAAGAATTTTTCAGATCTTGGAATTTCCTTTACATTACTGTATATCAGACTTGTAATTTTAAGGTCCAGGAGTCTCAACTATAGAGACTTATAACAAATCTGTACAAAATGAGGCAAAAAAAAAAAAAATTTCCATCTTCCATCAGTGGGAATAAATATAAGGTTATTCCTTAGCCACTGAAAATAACCAAGCATACTGAGTGCAGATCAACAATAACTTCATGTTAACAGCTAATTTTTATTAGCAGGAAAATAATTAAGCAATTGTTGTCAAATAATTTGTTTGTTTGTTTTTCTCTCAAAGATTTATCAATGTAAATAGAGTAACTATGTTGTTAACTATCTGCTTTATAAAAGGTTCACTTCAAAATGATAAGTTATATTACGCATACATATTATCATGTTAATAATTAATAATTAATGCATATTAAAATCTTAAATTTACGTGATAGCAGTCAAACATAGGCTTCATTAAAATCAAATCTACTATGACAATGCTAGCTTCCAAAAATGCTAAAACTAAGTTGAATTTGGAACTGAAGCCTGCATAGCAATCACTAACAAACCTATACAATGAAAAATCTATATATTTTTTATGAATAGGAAACAAGAAAGAGAAGAATTTTTCAGATCTTGGAATTTCCTTTACATTACTGTATATCAGACTTGTAATTTTAAGGTCCAGGAGTCTCAACTATAGAGACTTATAACAAATCTGTACAAAATGAGGCAAACAAAAAATATATATAACAAATGAATAAACAAATAAATAAATAAATCTATCTTGGGACATAATATAAAATATTGTGATATGATTAGCCTATTAGTATAGTGGAATCACTGCCTATTTATAAAACTTTTTTTTTTACCTGAAACCAAGAACTACAAACAAAACATTAACATTAAAATTATTCACAAATGATAAAAAAAAGCAAGGCTGAAGCATTTTAGTAAATAATGCATGCTTTACCCATGGGCTGCTGGATAACGGCAGAAAGCACCACCACCAAAAGTGACAGCAAAGATTATGTTTTTAATTATTATTAGTCTGGTTAATTGTAAAGCAAAAAACAACTGAGAGGGGATAGTGGAAGATGGAAATATGAACTAAATAAAATAAAGAGAAAGAAAGGAAGAAAGAAAGAAAAAAGAAAAAAAAAAAAATTAACTTTCTGTGTTTTTGTACTGAATTGGGACATACCTACATTTTCGAGGTTATCCCCATTATTATTATTATTATTATTATTATTATTATTATTATCTTATTATTAATACCAATATTAAATATTACTATTATTATACTGATTTTTTCAACTAACAAGCAAATCTTATAAAATAGTGTATGCCCAGTCAACAACAAAAAAAAAGAAAAAAAGAAAAAAAAAAAGTCAAATGTAAAATCTACTTTCTAAAAAAAAATTCTCAGGAATGGTCAAAAATATTTTCACTTATCTACTGTTACCTATTTACTCTATTCTTACTGCAAACACTTAGTAACAGCTTGATTACGCCACCATGACAGTCCCAAATATATATATAATGTTATGGAGGAACATGCATACATAGGAATTCAAAGTGTGTGTGCGTGTACAAAAAACCCTTTCTTTATTAATGAATTAATCATGAAATTTCCCCAACTGGTATCAAATCAGCCATTAATGTAAAATGTATCCCAGGAGAGCTTGTACATAAAAAAAAAGAAAAGAAAGACAGCTTTTAACCATTCAAGTAAAACTTTTTTAAAAAAATGTGTAGAAGGGTTAAGTGGGTCAAAGTTAAGACACAACTGGGAGAGAAAGAATCCTCCATTCCCCTTCCCTTGTCCCCCTCTCTTTCTCTTTTATTCTCTCTCCCTCTCTCTTCCTCTTTCTCTCCCGGCAGCACCCCAAATGTAATAACACACACAGTAGTATACTATCTGCAACAATTACCTTTTGGTCTGCTTTGTGGTGGGGCCGAGGCAGCAGCAGCCTTCTAAGACCTTTCTGCAGGGCTTTACAATGGCTAATATCACAGGGCTTCTGGGACTGGCTCATACTTAACGTTCTTTTTGTCTCGTGATGGGAGTCTTTCTTTACGTCAAACTTGGATATTGTCTCTTTAGACTAGTCTTTTTTTCTCTTTTTTTTTTTTCCTTTATGCATTCTTACTTATTAACTAAAATGTATTTACATATTTACATTGCATAGATGCAATATAGGGTCATTATGCAATAATATATAACAATCAAATGTATACTAGGCCTATAGTCTATCAACATATTCAGGAGCTGTACAATCTAAATACAAAGTTTTTACTATACATAATTTGAGATATCAGAAGAAAAATTGGCACGTACATTGTGCAACATATCAACAATTGATTATCCCATATCTTTACATCAACATTACTAAATAATCTATAACATGACTCAATGCAAATAATATCTGCAATAATATTACAAGGATACTGGGCATATCTTTTTTAACTTTTTTTTTTTCCTTATTGTCATATATATATATATACACATTCTTTTTCTTCTTTATATATGCATACATTTATACAAGTTTATTATATAATGTTGGGAATTAATTCAGATCCGAGAGCCAGAGCCATCACCATAACTACCATGACCCAGGTTGGGATCGTCTGGGGGGAGAGCAACAAACAACCAAACATAAGAAAACGGTCCACCTTGCCGCAGCATAACTACATCTCGATGAAAGACGCACAGAGACTCGAAGAAAGTCTTACGAGAGAAAGAATCTCTAGCAAAATGGGGTTCTGTGGTTACTCTTCATTATCATTATCATCATCATCATTATTAAGGCATTCATAGCTATTCACATTGCCAGCTTCAGACTAAAACACAATGCTATTCTGGAGTGTAGGAAAGCCATCTGCACCACACTACTTGTTTAGTAATACCTCTGCTAAGCTACCAACGCTGCAATCCCAATGCACCCAATCCGTAGGCAAATGGAAACGCTCCGATTGGCTGATCGGAAAGATTACAGGTGAAGAGGATTTCAAATGTCCAGGATTTTGTTTTGTTAATCATTCTGACAGTTAATGAAAGAATGCATCTATAGTTAAAAGACAGACACACAAGAGATGATATCTACACTTTCACAATTTAACATTCATTTGTCATCAGTCATCAAATTCATTCATAACACATTAATTCTTAACAAATGATAAGATCTCTCTTTCATACAACTGACAATGGTAAAACTGCTAGTGTTGATTATTCAACAAATACCGAACACCTGCTAACATTTATACTTTGACCTAACATTATCAAGGTCCATTAGTTAACTATCAATCAAACATAATTTATGACCAACAGACTTACTCAACGAAAATATATAAAACTGGGTGAAGAACTCCTATTTTTCCTATCATATATCCCTCAAAAAAAAACAAATTCAATATCTAGCAATGTGAATAGCATGAACCTAACCCTTTAGAAGCATAAAGTACAGTCTTTCAACGAAATACAATAATGATTGAAGGGTCCTTGTCAGTGATATGGCCAACTATTTTGCAATTGAGGAAACTTGAAGATTAAAATATATACTCAAACTGACTACTTGCTAAATTCATTAGATTTTGAGATAAGAAAAAACATATATACAGTATAGATAAATAAATAAACAAATATATATATATATATATATATATATATATATATATATATATATATATATATAGACAAATCTATTTTTTTACTTATTTATTTTATATATATATGTAAGAGATTTTATTTAAGAAAAAGGCCATACCACATGCAAGAAATGTCATGCTAGGGCTTGTGGGTAAAAAAAATATATATAAATAAATAAAAGAAGTACAGAGTCCCTACTCCGTTACTTTTAAGTCGGTGAGCAGAAAGCCTTTGAAGATTTATTGAGAACAAAAAGACTGAGAACTCAAGAATGAGGCTATGTTTAAAAAGTACATGCAAAAGAAATTTTATAGCATAGTTGCTTTTTTGTTTTTTAATTTTTAATGCAAGACAGTGACATCTGAGATGACTATCCTAATATACATAATGTACATTCTGGAATGTCAATAGCAAATGGCATTTCTTTCTCTCACCTTTGAACTTTGAACCTATTGAAGAAACAAGATCTCTAAATAAGAAAACAAAGATAAAAAAAAATGCTGATATTGAAAACAAAGAAAAGTGAACAAAGGTGAATCTAAACTTGTATAAGAAACAAGTAAAAAGTGAAATAAACAGCCAACTGAATTTCAGAATAAGAAAAAAAGAAAAAAAAAAAAAAATACAGACTAAAAGACCAGAAAATGCCATCAAACACTGCAATCAACACACTCACCGTTTTATTTTGCAGAGCGAGGAGTTGGTAATCCTCATCCACCCCCCCCAGCTTGTCTCTCAAATGATCACGTTCCTCCTTTAGGGATTCTAACTCCTCCCGGAGGCTCTCCAGTTTCTCAGCTATTAGTGGTCCATCCTGCCAAACAAACAAGAAAGTGAAGTGCGATCCACATCCATCCGACTTCCGCGATTTCTCTATCTCTTATGAACTAGACTATCTACCTTACAAATGATATCTAATCTGGGCATATCTGGGCACTGTATGTTTCAATAGTATTACACCGAGAAAGGTGTATAATAATATTGGCTGGTATAAGGAAATGCCCTTCCTTCTTCACAACAGAATCTATGTCTAAAATGTATAAAACAGACCTCAAGATAGCTCTTCACTAGTTTTCGTCACTTACATTCAGGGTAGGTGTGACGACTCCATCCACACGGTTAGGTCTGGAGTCATCTGCACTCTTCCCAGTCTCTCCCTCCAGTGCCTGTTGCAGCGCCCTCTCTCGCTCCTGCAACGTGGTGCACTGTTGCTGCGTCTGGGAGAGCTCCTCCTGCAGTTTCTTAACCATGTCTTTTAATGTGTTTATTTCCTGTTCTTTTGTCTCTGTCCCAACGATGGGAGCGGCCTGGCTGGGATGGCCGTTCGGGATGTCGCTCCGCTCCAATACCTCGGTGGCTTCGGCCGGCTCCTCGGTGGAGCCCTGTTGGCCGTCGCTTTCCGTCAGCGTTTCGGCTCGTGATACGTCGCTCGGGAGGCCAGGCGCCCGCGGAGAAGGGGGGATGATGAGGGGGGTGGTTGGAGTGGACTGGCTCATCCTCTCCTCCAGCCCAATTATCCGAACCTTCAGCGACTCTGCCTCCTGGACGGTAAGACTGGCTAGCTCTTCAGCTTTGTTCAATTTTTCTGTTGGTCACAATTGCAGTTAGTGTTAGTTACATATGCATCATAATTTGAGTGTAATTACAACATATGTAGATATAGCTAGTGCTGAAAAATATCTCTAGCTATCAAAAATTCCCATGAATCTTCCTGTATTACAAGAAATATATGCACTTTTTTTTCTAATTCCATCATAAATCCACATCGTTCTAAATACATTTTAAATATGATGAACAGGATTACTATATTCCTGATACCTTCAAAATAAAAGAATATGACATAAAAGACAACAATGTTGTATCAAGCTTACTTCGAAGAAGGTGGGCTTCTTCCTGGGCAGCCTGAACTTTATCCTGTTCTTCTTTTAGCTTTGCTGTGAGAGTAGAGAGGTGAGCCTGAACCTCCTTAGCTGAATCCTCCATCCGACTTACTTGGTTCTGTAGTGATGCTACCATCTTCACTTTCTCACTCATCAAAGCCTCACTTGCCTGAAAGAATAATTTTTTTTACAATTCCATACAATTTACATCCTTTTCTCCACATAATAAATCTTTCAAAAGTACAATATTCACCCACAGACAAAAGGAGAAACCACAAAAAAAATTTCCACCACAGCGACAACAATACTCACTGCCAACTGTTGTCGAAGGTTGGATGCCTCATGGGATGCAGTTATGGCTGCAGTTGAGGCCTGGGCTAATTCCTCTCTGATGCGAGCCGCTTCTTTGTCACTTGCTTCTTGTGTGACTCGACTTGCATCAAGAAGTGCTGTTTAGGAGAATTCAGAAAAATTATTTATATATGTATACAAATAAGAAAATTCTCTAAATGCAATAAATCCCATTATGTAGTTGGTGATCCTTCAGAAATTCCACACCATGCACCTGGAATGCTGTTTGGCTTACTTTAATATCTATACCTATATACCACATTGGAATACTTCAAGCCAACCTTGACCAAAAAACAAATATCCCTAAATTTTACCCTGGTTCTTACAATGAAAGATAATGAACATTAAGAAATTTTGGATGCTTCAAAGACCCTTAGGGGAACAAGCCTATTACCCCATATCCCTAAATGACTACTGACAAGAGAATCGTAGCAGCAATGCCGCTATCATCTGCAATATGATACATCACACATGCATGCTGACCAAATAACCATACATAAAATGAAAACGGCACATGCCTTGAAGTCTGAGGATGTCCGAGCGCAGTAGTGATTCTTGGATGATTCCTTCCTTGCCTTCCTCTTCTTTCTCTTCTTCCTCCTCAACTGTGCCATTCACATTTGATTCCTGAAAGTAAACAATCACAGGTTGCTTACGATGTTGTCATAGTCAAATTTTATTAATTCTCATGCTTGTTAATCTGTACTTAATTGTAGACAAGTAATATTCATATACATCATAAAATCTTAACTTTGAATTAGTCTCATAGCAAGTAACATTTCCAGATAATCTTTCCATTTACAGGTAATATTTACACAGAAAGCATAAAAAAAACACTGAAAGGCACCCAACAGTCACCTTGCAAGATTCCTTAGTAGGGATGATGGTGAGGGTGGTGTCAGCATCCTGCGTAATCTCACCAATGTCGTTGGACTCCTTGTCTTTGGTGTCCTCTCCATCATCTTCATTCAATTTGTTTTTATTCTGAAATTCCAAGTAAAATAAAGTCAATGAATAAAGCTGTACTTAATACATACCTATAAGTAGTCAATAAATACCTTTATCCTTTTCATTAACCTGCTGCCACTGGGTGGTATGTATGTACATGCCATGGCATGCCTGGACTATATTCCGGGCAACATGGTGCGCCAGTCCCATTTTTCGGGGGCATGTGTGGTCATGGTGACGACACAATCCCCCGGCAGCAGGGCCCAGGCTACTATGAATACAACCCAGGAAAGAAGCTTTTCGGATCAGGAAACCACCTTCACTGATAACCCTCGTTTTTATGTCAGGATTACAATCCAACTCTTATGATGATTATAAAGTGTACTCAGTGTGATTGTTTTTACAATTTCCTTATAAGCTTAAACTAAAAAATATTTTCAAAATGCAGATTAAGAACAATTAGATAAAAGATTAAGTTTGGCAGTTCCTTAATAAGCATTTTCAAAGCATATGTTCACACATATGAATCGATAATGGAGGCAAGCTGATAAGTATAAATCAGTTCTTGAATTTCATATACTAAGCAGTGAGGTAAACACACTGCTTATAAACAATATGGCATACAGGATTCAACTACTGTAAGTATTGCCATAGTTACCAAGGGAATAATCCTAATGAATAAGCCCAAAGAAACACATCAGCAATGTTAAAATATCCCAAATCCAAGAGAAAATCAAATAGAAAGCAGAGGAGGAGGAGGAGGAGGAGGAGGAGGAGGAGGAGGAGGAGAAGAAGGAGAAGGAGAAGAAGAAGAAGAAAAGTAAATATCAAATAAATAAGGAGACACGCACCTTCTTTTTCCTCACTAACGTATCTTCGTAGATATCATCGTAAATCTTGACTTTGTGTGACTCTCCCTCGTACATCCGCAAGCGATCTTCCAGGGCAACAATCTGAGACTGGAGGTGTTCAGTCAGGGCTGTGCTTGCTGCGCTTTTTGCCTTGTTTTCCGAGAGCTCCTCTGTGGGACACACGTATAAAATGAGTCATCGAAAGGCCAAATTTTAAATAGGTGATAAAACTGGGTCAATCTCCTGGAGGGCAAAAAAAAGCATCAGTTTTAATTATATCAAAGACCAGTCTTTATGTAAAGATTATTAAAGATGCAACAAGGCTTTGTTCCCTCTTGATTGTTTTAGCATAAAAAATCTCTAAAGCAGACTTCAATATTTATAAAATTGGTTCAGTTCATAATAATATCAAGAAGGGATTCAAGCCACAATTATCTTACAAGACAAAGGAGACTTTAAATAAAACTCTGAATTCCAAATTATCAGATCATGCCATGTGCAGAGAGTATTACACCATAGTTATATTTTGGACATTTTTAAATGAAACCAAAATACATTTTCAATAATCAGTACAGAATTTTATCAAAGGCAAGTGAGGAAAAAAGCATTCTTTATATGTAATCAATCTACTTTACTTTGTGTACAATTTATATTCTAAACATTAAATTTGAAACAAAGGCTTATAATTTCATATGAAATTTGCATATGTCAAGCAATTCATCTTTTTTAGCTGTCTTAGCTTAAGCTCTGAGAGCCACTAATTTATCTGTGCAAAATAAAGACAGGAGTAGTTATTTAGCACCATTAACAAATGTTTTTGTTCACTTCTTGGCATTTGTATAAGTTAATATCAAATGCAAGGGTAACCATGCAAAAATGAGGCATTGCATTTTAATAATAAAACAGGCATTGCAATCATTTTACATGCAGTATAAGAAAATACTAGGTAAACAAAACCCCTAACTTTTACAGCAATTCAAGTGATTTAAAACAGGAAAAAAATAAAATTCTTCTTTATTTACTGTATCACAAAGTCAAGAATTTGACAAATCACCTTCAGTTTTAAAACTGAAGTTGTTTTTACAGAATTCAAATAATTTCAATAGTATTTGAATAATAAAAAACACCTTTTTTCTAATCACCTATAATCTTTAGAAAAATGTAAAAATCCCTTTAAATAAACTCTCATGATTATTCATGGGATATGGATCAAATCCAAGCTATACAAAATAAAAGTAGCAAATATCAAAGGTAATCCAAAAAGAAAAAGAAAATCACTGAAGGAAAGCTCAGAGAGAGGACTTACCCTGGAGGCGAGCACGCGTGCTCAAGCATCCAACCTCTGCACTGTCCGCCAGCTCTGCCTCATCTATGGTAGACAGACACCAATGTCCGTCAGCATTACGATCATCAGCAAGGGGGTTGAAATGAGTAAGTTATCACAGTTGCAAGCACCAGGCTCTGGTGGTGAGCCACATACACTCACACATACACTACTTACAAGTACAGTACACACACGAGCTTACCATGCAGCATTCACAAGAAATGATAAGGACTCGGTTTTGAAACTTTTGTAACACGTGAGAATGTGTGTGAAGGACGGCTATTCTCATAACTCAAATGCTGGGAGAAGCCCTCAGAGCGAGGAGTTTCCCAAGGCTCCAAGAATGCTTTGGTAAGTTGTACTCTACTGCAACACAACCTTCAAGGCCAGTTCTCATGCAAACTCTCCAAAATTAACAGGCACCGTGAGTAGGCCAAGGCACAGGAATACACTGTACACAGTAACCAAGTCACTAAACTTGTTTCAAGGTTAGCCTAAGTGTTATGTAATCACAACAAGATGGTTTTGTTGTGTCAGAGGAGATATCATGGAAATCTATCATACACACCACTTTCAAAAATCTTGCATATGTATGTGCACTGAAACAATATTAGTTTTAACAAGAATGCCGATAGTTTTCAATGTTATGAAGACTAATATTGGCTTCCAGATAATCAAGAATAATTACAACAGTTTTATATATACACATTTCAAATAATACTTTATTTCTTCATGTATATAAACGTTACTAAAACTGATGGATGGTAAAATAATAGAAATGAAGATTCCAACAACTTGTAAAAAAAACAATTATGATGCAATCATCCGCAACTTCTCAGCCACACACTTCTTAATTTAAAAAATGGTTATACTAATTTGCTTTGTAAAATTATTACTGTACTTGTCATTAGCATAATATCATTTACATATTTGAATCACACCACAAACAGAAAAGTATATCAAATGTATAATATAAATAGGACAATAAAAGTGCTAAACAAAATGACAATGACAAAGTTCCCAGGGTTCAGTATATCTGCAATACATGAATAAAAATGCAAAGAATCCCTGATACATCTTAGAGCTTCAAGGACTATAAAAATCCCAATGAAAAATAAGCAAGGAGTAAATAGTTGAACAAATGTTTATTTCTGCTTCTTGGGATAATTGTCTAAGTAAAGAGATCATAATTTCTTTTTGGTTTAGGAGCTCCTTGGTTTTTGTTAATCTCTGTTATTCATATCTGTAAAAGCACACATAATAGTTTCAATATGCTTTGTTAATCTATGGCTACTACTACAAAAAACAAGTTTGCTTTTTTATAGAACTATAGACAAATTCATACATCTGTCTGAAATGGTTAAAAAAAACAAAATCACATAACAAAAGGTATTACAAAGACAAAAAAATATAATAAATCTAGATGAAGTATGGTGTGCGCCATGCCTGTGAGTCAAAGGAAACCCCCTCTTTAATTTCCAAACCCCTAAGCTCCCTCGAAACGTCCCTCCCCCCCCCACACGCGGACATGTCTCCGTCTCTCTTCCCATCAGGACTACTCACGTTTGAGCTGCGATACGTTTGCTTCCGTTTGCCTGAGTTCGTCCTGAGCAATTTGGAGTCGGTCCTTGAGGGTGAAGATCTCCCTCTGGGAAGTCTCGAGAGCTTGCTTCACGTCAGCTGACTCAATGCTTATATTGTCTAGACCTGCAAGGAAGTGGCCTTTGTGAAGTATGGTACATATGTATGATGTGAATGTCATGTGATTTCTATTTTGCTGCTGCTTATATGCAAATGTATGATAACAAGCTATATGCAAAGTTTAGGAATGATATTTTTCTTCTATATTTGAATAAACAGTAGCAAAAATTTCTGAAAACTACAAAAGAGATTATCAATATTGCTACTCATACCAACAGTCTTAATACTTTTTGATAAAATTACCAAAAAAAACAAAAAAAAATGTTGAACATACCTGAGGAATCCTTTACAGGCTTAATAAGTCCACTTATTTCACCATTCTTAATATTCTCATATTTAGCTTTCATGGCACTTAATTGCTCTTTCGTAAAGTCACTTTCCGCTGTTAAACTTTCTATTCTAGCTAATAATTTGTTTTCATCGTTATTCTTTTCTAGCAATTTGTTTTCCAATTCCTTCTTCTCTTGTTCAAAATTCTCCTCCACATCCTTCAACTGATCTTCAGCTGCCTGTAAATAAAAGTGAAAATAATAGTAACAATACCAATTATGAAATAATCACACAAAAAGAATACGACATGAATGGTATATCCCACTACAGTCAAAATCGCCTTAAATTGCAAGGAAAAATCCTATTTGCCAAAGTGCAGAAGAGAGAGAAAAAACTTTCTTTCCTCTGCTTATCAATTCTCATTTCGCTTTTCCGATAACGCACCTTTAGTTTTTCGGTAAGCTGGGCAATCTGTTCGTTTTGGGTCGTCTGCTTCTCCAACAGCTCCTGAAGCTCCTTTTGTGTTGTCTCACATAGGTCTTTCATGTGACTCAATTCGTCCTCAGATGTACTTAATGTCCTAAGGGTTAAGCAAAGTCAATGTTCATTATACGGATTCCAGTTAAGAAATAATAGGATCTGCATGCGCCCTAAAAAATGCATAAAAAAAAAATAATGTCTTTTAGGATAGTCAAGAAATACTATATGCACTAAGTAATAAAAAGCATAATAAACAGCCATTATATCTTCATTCTTCCACATATCCTTGTTAACTATGTAAAGTTATTATCAATAGGCCACTGCTGAAAACTCTTCTCATAGTTTACAACACACCACCTTATAATTCAGTATAACTCAATATCCAGGGGCCTTAGAGCTCGTATCTAAATTTCACATTTCTAAATTTTGGATTCGGTAAAGCCGTGTTCATATCCATTTTGGCCAAGTTGAGAAAAATAACAACAGTATCTCCCATCTATAAAATATAAATACAGCTTTTATAACACATGGCAATATAAAGCTTATATGAAAGTAGCTATAAAAAAAAATTTAATCTGCTACTTCTCCCATCTACTCTCTTCACCTTTCTAAGTCTGCCAACTTGGTGACTGCGTCCAACTTCTCCTGCAAAACCCGTCGTAATGATTCTTTGGCAGTTGTCTCATACTGGTCCTTCTCGTCCAGTAATCGTCGCATTTCTTCCCTAACACTATCTTCAGGGTAATTCTGCCAAGAGACAAACATTAATGAAAAAAAAAATCTTATGAAATCTTTCCCTGTACTTACATCCTTAAATTTCCTTATGCACAATTTTCTTCTTTTTTTCTATACATTCATGCCATTAATAAGATTATCTAGCCTCATGTACTCTTTAAATTCCATATCAGAACCTAATAATTTCTTATGAATGTTATCTGTAGTGATATTCATTTATTTTTACAACAGAGCCTCTTTAATTACCTACATTCACTATGAAAGCTGCACCTTCTGCACATTCAATTACAAACATAATGTTCCAGTAATTCCAGCAGCATAACTTTCTAATCTATAGACACATTGGGTGCAATGAATACCATTGCTTTATTGCATACCTTGGAGTATGTGGTAAGTTGAGCTTCTAAGGTTTCTAGTCGTTGCAGTAACCGA